CCTGTCAACACGTCATAGCGGCACAATAGTGCCACGTGGAGCCGGGAAGTTAACTGGGGGCTCAAAAGTAGTAGATATACTGGGGCGAGATCTAAGGGCCTGCTTTGCAGAGGCTTTTGTTGGACTTGATCTCGGACTGTCATTATATCTACTACTGGTTGTGTTTACGAGAAATGTCAAAGGTTCAGTTTAAAGTATCAAAGTTCATGTGAGAGGAATGCTCCGGGACTCGAACTCGAAATGGGCCAGAATAACAGCCTTTTATCCCTACATCCTCTGTATCGCAGGAAAAAATCTTCAATAGAACTTTTGTAAGTTTCAGGACAACAAATACCAATTGCGTTTTTAATGGCTTTCAGTATATGAATTTATATTCTCTGTACATCACATATCTAGAGCTGTTATTCAAAGTGGAAGTCCAACTTTGAGAAAATTCATTTAGCGATGAATAATGAGAATAACAACGGGCTTAGGATGCATCTTTGGCGCACTCAATTTGGGCAATTGAATAAATCGGTAATATCTGAAGAAGCGCATTTTACGCAAGCTTGTGCAGATATGTAAATTGCTTTGAGTGCTGACAGCATTTTCCCCCCTGTTTAAGGCAAAACAAAAGTTTATTTCTTTCCACATAAATAAATGCCTTTCTGAAATCTATGAAGGCGACATAAAGCTTTTTTCGTTTTTTCATAAAGCATTTTTCGACAATAGAATTTAGTGTGAACATGTGATCTGTGGTTGAATAACCAGATCGGAACCCCGCCTGTGTTTCTGGAACTTTATCTTTTAGCTCTGTCCAGACTTTCAGTCTATTATTGAGCACACCAGTATTAGATTTTGCTCAAGGCGCTTAACAACGATATGCCCCTGTAATTGTCGGGGTTATTTCTATCACCTTTTTTGTGTATTGGGACAACGATAGACTTTGTGAGCTTGTAGGAAATTTTCCCGAATCACATATTTTATTGAAAAGTGTAGCGAGAAAAGGCTTGAAATATGAGGAAGTGGTTTTGATCATTTCACTTTGTATTATATCTGTACCAGCTGCCTTACCATTATCTATATGTTTTATAGCATCACTAATTTCAGACGAAGTAATATGTGATTCTAGGATAAGTGAATCAACTTCATCTAAGTCTGGTTCTTCCGTAGAGCCAAAGTGGTCAATCATTGGTGCATCATAAGTTGCAAACAGGCTACTAAAGTGGTTAAACCTGCATCATTATTGATATTCGAGCGAGGTCGTTGCAAAGGAGATATACCTCTGAGGATACGCCAAAACGTCTTTGGGTTACTGGTTGCTTGCTTTAATGCATCAGCTTTGTTGCGCTCATATGAGAGCTTTGTGCGCCTACAGATACCCTTATATGAATTCCTCTGTTTGCAATAATTACGTCGGTTTTTTCTCAGATTTATTTCTTTGGAATCAACGCAAGGCTTTGCGAGTGAAGTATTGTTTACTTTTACAATATTTATAAAAAAAACCATTTGAAAAACCCTTCTTTTTTTTTTTCATACAGTCCGCTGCACCAAGTACTGTTTGTACAAACAAGTCTAGAGCGTGGTCAACATCTGTATCAACTAATCCTGTTGCTTCAACAAAGGTGTCAGCAACCTGTTTTATGCTGTCGGTGTACACGTCTGACTTAGTATGGTTCCATACAATTCTGTCAGAGCAGTTTCCGTCAGTATTATCATTATTTTCTAGCTGGTGGCTTTGCTCGTAAACTTTAAGTTTTGCCGTTAACGGCATATGATCTGATTCTACTCGGGCCTCTACATGAAACGATTCAATCAGTTCAAATGCATCAATACTGGCAATGCAATAATCATTTACCGAAGAACCCTGGCTAGATATGAACGTAAACTCGCCAGTTTTATCTCCTTGCACACGACCATTTAAAATATACAACTTGTAAGTATAACACATTTCCATTAACATTCTACCAAATCTATTGATTGAGTTATCACAAGATTGTCTGTTGTCAAGAGGCATTAACTCTTCGCCAGGGAACACATCTCCCAGAAAGTTCGGTTGTGGTTCAGGTGGTTCATTGCTTGTCCCAATCCTGATTTCAGGGCCCAGTTTCAGTAAAGCTCTCGTAAGCCTAAGATCTCGTTACGTTTTCTCGTAGCAATCGTACCTCCTATGTTACAGTAATGGAGGTACGAATGCTACGAGAAAGGTTACGAGATCTTAGGCTTACGAGAGCTTTGTGAAACTGGGCCCAGATCACCGGTGATAACTATATGACAGTCAGAAAGCATATCTAGGTTTTCTGAGAACCACTGATCAAGTAGTTCTATAGGTGTTGGTTTCCCACACGATGTGTAGCATGTCGACCCCTCGGGTGGTATGTAGAGACCTATCAAAATAACATCTTTTTTACTATTAAGATTATATATATCAGATTATCGATATCCAACTTCAGTAAAGTGCAGAACTGGGATACACTGTTATGTATGAAAGCAAATACTCCTCCCGACAATCTCCCGTGCCTGGCCGTTTTCATTGCTTTCGCTATGTATTGTGTATAGTCAGACAATTCAGGGACAGCAATGATGCTACCACTAAACGTCTCATACAGAAACATTATTTGAAACCTAATCAAATAGGAAATGAAATCTGTATCCTCTAATTTAGAGGCTATACCGTTGATGTTCCAAGAGAGAACCTCTAACAAATGTGTAAGTGGGTACTCATCTGATATGCTATCAGCTGCTGGGGTAGGTTGCTGCGGGCCTTGGCCACACCCCTATTCATCAGGAGTCCCAGTAGGTGGAGCCTGTGCTTCATCCTCTAGACTGCTGTCACGTGAGGGTGCAGACTCTTGTCGGGTAGCCCGTGACCTTGGCTTAACCCTAAAACAGCCCCCGACCCCCGAATTAACACACACACGCACACACACACACACACCAAATAAAAAGCCCCAAAACAAACAAAAATAAAAAACAAACACTCTTCCTTCCCGGCTTCTCCTTCCCCAAAAATGAATACACGAAATAGAACCGAGTAAAGAAGAAACACCAACACAAGATATATATGAGTATTGATCTTCTCTTATGTTCCGGCCATTAGTGGTTAAAACATTCACTCGTCACTCCGAAGACCCTGGTTCGATTCCTCACATGAGTACAATGTATATATTTCTGGTGTCCCCCACCCTGATATTGCAGGAATATTGCTAAAAAGCGTAAAACCATACTCACTAACTCGCTCACTCATCACGTGTTCGCGAAAACATGTCATTCACTCACTACGTGACTAGCATTGGAAATCAGTCTGATCATTTGCGTGTTTTCATTTCCGAAACTCAAGGAACATTATTTAATTGTGACAAATATTGATACTGGGGATCGGTTCTGTGAAGGTTAATACATGTATGCTAACTGATGTCCCTAATGCTGTAAGTAAAGCTACGCGATACCACATCCAGTTTCCTATTTTCCCTTCAGATAACAATGGAAGCAATGGTGATCGCGTGTGAGCACTGTTTGCATTACTCTCATCTAGTCCGACTGATAAAATATTAACCTACATGGCGTTTTACCTTGTTGACGAAATGACTTAACGGAACGGCATTGTTGATTGTTGGACTATTGATCGCGTTGATGAAGTGAGTTTAGTTTCACTCCGCTTTTAGCAATATTCGAGCATTATTGCAGCATGAAACGCCAGAAATAGGTCGTTGATGGACACCCGGGTTAGAATTGGTCTTCAGCCAAGCATGCTTGTCGTTAGAGGATCGGCTGGTCAAGTTCGCTTGACATGGTTGACACATGTCACCGTATCCCAATTGCGTAGATCGATGCTCGTTCTGTTGATCACTGGATTGTCTGGCGCAGACTCGATTATTTACAGACCCTGTCATACAACTGGAATATTGACGAGTATACAATCAATCGAAAATGCAATGTCATCAATTGATTTTATGGAGGAGCATGTACAATGTGAATGTCCCTCCTCCTCCCCCACACACACACACACATACACACACTAAACTTTATGGTCAAAGTTAGTTGCAACCCACCCAACCCCGACCCCGACCTGCATGAATTAAGCAATTTGTCATTCTCGATGATGGCCATTTCTAGTGTACTGAAGCAGATTCCAGTGGGCGATAAGGTAACTGAATGGGTCATTAAAATAATTTGATTGAATGGATAATTGTAAATGATTTGTTTTTGTAAAATCATAAGAATGCGTTGCTCTGTTTGCGGTACAGACCACTGGCATCTTTAACATAAAACAACGATAGGAGGCGTCCATGACATGGAGGGACAGCGTAGTCATCTGCAGAGGTAAATGTTAGATGAGGTTAAAACATCCCGCATTAAATTGGGTCTGCTTAACTGGCAGTAATTGAATACCGACATGGCACAAACACAAAACTGTGAAAATAATTTTGATGGTGGAACGATTTGATTATGATATTTAAAAGACGAGACGCAGTGCTTGACAACATAGATTTTGAATCATGAAGAACAAAATCCTCGCACGAAGTACTTGTCAGAACTAACAAGATACACGTTTGGGAATGCCATCAATGACACGATCCAGCAATCATGCAAACCAGAGCCATAGAATCAACAGTGAAATAAAAGAGTATTGATTACACGTTGACAATAATGACATGTGGTGATTCAACGTGGAGCTATAATGAGTGGATTGATGACAATGAGTTAAAATATTAAAGCAGACAGTGGAGATCCTATTTTGCACATTCGCGACCATTATTGGGAGAAACATTAACATGAACGGGTTGGATTTGATTTTCCAGAGGATGCTTCACTTCCACACTGTACAGGAATGACTTTGGTCGTACACTGTTATTGGTAACTCATACCCGAGGAAATGGCTGATGACATTTGAGAGAGAAGCAGTTTGCACTGGAATATATATTTGTTTGTGCAGATTAATGAATCAAGCAGAACAGCGTATGAAATCGGATGGCCTGGATGTCAGATAAGACAACTCAAGTCTTTACACACGTAAAGTGGTTCATATTAGAACTATTTATGATATCACTGTTTCATATAATGATACATTTCTGAAGAAGACGTGTAATTATTATTTTCAAATAACTGTCAGACAAAATGCTTCCAAAGGTACATCCTTCAACAGATGGGATACCAACTGAGCGTGAAGACGAGCAGCCCGTCGTTTCAGATGCATTCTTTAAACATTTGCGTGTCACTTCTTGCCTTGGAGGAATCTATCGTCGTGCAAACCCTGGAGAGAAAATGATATGGTGGGACAGAATTAAACTTGTGTATGTCGTATTTGTTGAAATATTATTTGTGACCTGCATTGTCTTCTTTCTAATTGCTACTTACAATTATGCAGTTGGCTCTAGACCAATTATACGTCTTCTGTCGTTCTGTGCCATCATGGCCATTAATTTGTACTTGTCATTGATCTACAGTATCTTTCTCTCAAAAACGTTCCATCTGCTGCATGTACGTTTTCGCAAGTATGAAGAATTGTACGGATTCAGCGATGAATTCAAGAAGTGGGTGAAGAGGTTGAGGCCAATCCTTGTTTGCAGCCATTTATTCACGGCATCATCTGGTCCACTAGAATACTTCATGACGAAGAGCTACCCTAAAGTTATGTATGATATCTTCCCTACAATGGTCTTCACGGAACCTTGGAAATCAGCTGGTGTAGGTATCACATGCATTGGATACACATTAGTTGAGTTTCAGTGGATAACTAACTACACTGTTATACCATTTCTTTCTCTGTTTGTGTGGCAGGAATTCAAACGTGTAGAAACACAATTCAAGGAACTTTCAAACAGTCAATGTGATAACACTGAATCCAGGTTCAACACTTTGGTCATTCATTTTGACCATATCACTGAAATACTTGAGGATATCAGCAACTATGTGCAACATTCTATTTTCACTTATGTATTCATGACTTTGCCTGTGACATGTGCTGTCTTGTATTCCATTCTATCCAAGCACGTCAGTTCTGAAGAAGTGATGGTTTACAGTGTATGGTGTGTGTGGGCCCTTTTATGTGTTGGCTGTAGACTGCTCATTGATGCGCTTGTCAGTTCGAAGGTAAGGGTTTGATTGTTTTATGTCTTAAGATTTAGACAATGAAAATATATACTCATGGAAACGAATAAGGGAACATATGAAAATACAAGTGTTCCTTTATTTATTTCTAGAATTTCGACCACAGTGCAATACTTACCTAGTGAAGAAATAAGAATAAATGAACACTTGTACTTTCAGGTGTTCCCTTATTCGTGTCCATGAGTATATTAGAAACCATGAGTGCTGCTTTGATAATTAATTCATAACACCAAAAGAAAAACCAAAAAGAATGAGACATTCACCATTGTGATGAAGTCCATGAATATTGTGACACACATTAAAGCCATTATGAGGATGTATCCGACGAATACAGCTATAACGTATTTGAATGTTGTTAGATATGCAGTATGCTATTACACAGATTTCATTCCAGGCTCATGGGACCCTTCAGTATGTTTGGGGACTGGATAAACAGCGTTTCTCTGGCAAAGGGCTGCAGAAGGTATCTGGTCTACACTTGTTATACTCACATGTGATTCATGTTGAATCCCAAGAAAATGTAATGATTTGCCACTAAATGATAAAGAACACATTTCTTTCATCTTAAACTGCTGCATTTTCTGACTAATATTGGTACCAATGATTTGCAAAATTTAACGCAATCACTTATGAAAGGAAAACATGAGTGTACCTTTTGCTTTCATGCTTGCTTATCACGGCCAAATATCTATATATGTTAGATTGCTGTAACATTTATAAAACGTCAATGTGCGACAAAGCAATTAGAAGTTATTCCATGTAGTCCAAAAGTTAATGACATTTAGCATTATCGTTGAGTGGACTCAGAGTGGATTCTAGTGATCAGTTGCAACAAACACATAGGTTCCTCCGGGAATTCGTTGAAACTGATGCTTGGACAATGTATCAATGATGATCAGGTGCTTACAGTGTGTATCACTGTTTAAAGAGAATGTTGATATTTAGTTTTGAAAGTATCGGTTTTAATATGTTTATGTATCGTTTACATTTTGCAATTGTATCATGTGTGTTGATGTTATGAGAGTTATATATGATTATTTTTCATGCACAAAGATGGGAAATTAGAACTTTTTAATCTCTGAGAATAAACAATGTGGATGGTTTCATGGACAATTATAAACTATGAAATATTAATGTTCAAAATGTAACTAGATTTACGCAGTAATGCCGCGAAAATAGGTATCGTGATATGTATCGAATCGTGACATGGGTATCGTGATACGTATCGATTCATGAAACTGATGTATCGTGACACCCCTAATTCGGGGTTTCAGTTCCAATGCAGGAGGCCTGTGTTTCCAAGGTTTATGCGTACGAGGCAAATACACGTTATATTTGACGCTATAAATTGACGTTTTTGTAGCATAGGTAACAAAGGTTTTATCTCTGTCATTGATGACAGCATTTTACATATTTGTTAATGTAATTCAGTGAAGATATAGAAACGTTTCACTGTTAGGTACTGTTTGTTCATATCATTCAGTTAGGTACTTGCCACTTTTGTACAAGGTCAAGCCTATTTTGTAACATGTTTCATGTGGCAAAATGCTTCCTTTATGTCTTTTATGATACTTTGATTGAACGAAACTAGTGCAAACATACATCTTTGCAGAGATTTTAAACAGATTTTAAAGATTCGTTCGTACTGTAGGTGAACCTGTTTGTGTCAAGATTGACGGGAGACACTATCGGCTACAACATTCACGGCCTCTTCACCATCACCATGCCAACACTCCTTGGGGTAAGCCATAAAGGTTATAACACAAACGTGAAAAAAGCGAGGCACAGCTTGTTTATTGGTAGTGCCTTTACGTCAATGACATGACAGCTTTGCATACAAATATCAATAATATTTTGATAAATCATATTACATAATCTAGTATTATTATATTTATTATTAAACAGTAATGACCTATAAATAACCTTCGCTTCGCTTTGTAATACCAAGACAAAATGTACCTAAAATGTTATACATCACATATTTTCATATGAACATTTACATAATGTATACAATTCAAAATGAAGAAAGCACGTTCGATACACGTCATCAATCTTTCAGATCGCAGGAACGCTGGTCACCTACATAATTGTGGTTGTGCAGTTCAAGCCATCAGATTCGTCGTGTCAATGCAACTGGTTCAGGAATGTCACAGGGAGTGATATGTAATTTGGAACACTTTTTGTGTTACAAAGAGAAGGCATTTGTCCTTACTAGCTCTAGTGTGTCTAGTGTGTAGTCCGAGGCCCTTCATGCAGATGGGGAATACTCTGAAGCTGCATTAATATCGCCATGCCATCATATATTCCATAACGCCTGACACTCCCAAAACTTGATTGTACAAATGTCATCAATTATCAGATCGCCGGAACGCTGGTCACATGCATAATTGTAGTTGTTCAGTTCAAGCCATCAGATTGGTCGTGTCAATGCAACTGGTTCAGGAATGTCACAGGGAGTGATATGTAATCTGGAACACTATTTATGGTACAAAGAGAAGGATTTTATCATCACTAACATTAGTGTGAGATCTTATACCTCTCGTTGTGATGAAGGAGAATCATGAGCAGCTGCACCAACTCACCAGAGAAAAGAGGTGCAGGAACACTTTATCATTATTTGCGTGTTTTGGTATGTCCGCATCTGTATATTCAGGATATGTTTGATTAACGCTTTGAAATTGTTTTACAGTAAATTGTGTGTTGAGTACTATTGTAAAGTTTAACGAATAAGTAGTGTTTGACCATTTATGTTTAAAACAAATTAAACACGAAAACGTATTATTACCTGAAAAAATATTTCAACTTAACAATGTAATATTATCTCATCTTTATCGAGGTTGATAATAAGACAATTTCATTAATCGTTTTAGTATATTTTGTGCAAAAGACATGTTCTTGAAGTTTTGCTGAAACTGTATAAAAAAAATTAAAAAAAAAAAAATGATTTATTGATGTGGAAAGGATTTTGCCGCTTCCGCTTCACTGGTGTTTGCAAGACCAACAAGCAGATGCAATCCATTAAAGGGGTGTTATTATTTTGAAGTTCATGGACCGTTCATGTTCCTCCCGACCCTCCTCAACTACTTAAGGCAATGTGTTGTTTTGGAAGAAATGTATGAGTTATATATTTATAGTTTTTTTGCTGTTGATGTATTGTATCGCATCTCTTAGTTTGGAAATAAGGTTATATCACTCACGATGCCATATTTCTCTTTGACTGTTTTCATGCATATCTTCCAGCATTTCCTTAAATGTATTAAGTCCATGAGCAACATCTAGTTTGTCAGATTTGTCAGCTGCATAACACAATGGACTTTGCTCAGTGAGTATCGTTTGAATTCGGATAGTTGAACTGCAGCTCTGTAGCATCGACCCCTAGTGACTGTAAATAGGGATCTCTCACGTAAGTATTTAGTGCCCTACATGTTTGTATCTGATTTTCTTCAGAGATCAGTTTGCTGCAACCTGACTGCATACAAACTGTTGTTTTAATCTTTTAACCTTCCCGTTTGAGTGTAAGTGCATTCTGGAAAACTTGTCACAGTTATATCTACACTGTCTCTTTCGCGTTTTATCCTGTTGTCTGTTTCAGTTCTAATCTTCCCTAATTCAGTTTTTCAATTTCTCGCTTGTTGATTGATTCTTTTTTGGGTTGATAATCTTTTATAATTCCTTTTTAAGTGCATAAAGCTTTCGGTGTATTTCTGCACTGCATGTCGTCTTTAATGAAACTGTTGTACTATTAACCAACATCAGAAACAGTTTCTTGGAACATACAGGGTGGGTGACTTTAACTGGCACTATGAAGTTAAGGACGAAGGTACATGTTGGAATGACTAAACAATTCTCGAATAACAAAGTCCTTTTTTAAGAAAATGAATCTTTCCCTCCACTCTGCGATTCAAATTATCACCTCACCCTACCGGATACCCGTTAACTACTGGTTGAACAGAGGCACATTACGAACAAAGTTTTTTATCTGAGCTTACAGCACATGTGCTACTTGTGCTTGTCAGTGGGGCAAGAGTAAAGCCCTTGAAACTGTAATCAAACCAAAGCTTAACACCCCTGATTTGATATTGGTGCAATGTACATTGGATACGTAGCATTAAAAAAATATCCTGTGACTATTTCGTAATAATATAATAAACAGATATCTGATACCTGTCAAGACATCTGGTGATGGCGTCGTCAAATGAAAACGCCTAAAAGCTCAAATCTTATCTTACCCCTGACCCTGTTCATGATTTGGTGGAGGCAGCACTGTAGACGTGCATATACGTACACGAGTCCAAGGATCAAAGGAGGAGTGTGAATAGCTTTGTACAACTAAAGTAAAAGTCACAGCAGGAGATTAGCACTTTTATGATACAACTTTTTAGATAATTACAAATATTGTGCGTTTGTGGAATAAAACATTATACAATAATTCTGTCTTTCTTTCTACTAAACCGAAGTACAGAAGAAAGTACACACCTGGTGTTTGCGAACTATTTGAACAGAAAATCTCCCAAACAACACAAATATTTTGAAGCATGATTTCATAGTGACTTAGAAGTCACAAATATTATGTGTTGCCCCCAAACCCCATTTTCTTTTTTAGTACCCATGTTGGAGTAAAAAACCGGATCTTTCGGCTTGACGAGCAAAGGCTTTAACCACTAGGCTACTCTACAGAACCAGATGTGACTGTAAGACTATCCCAAACATCACACATAATCATTCCGGATATACACATTATCAAGTCAAACGTTTTCATTTAGAACTTTCTAATACTTGCCAAGGGAAGCCCGTAGTTAATTGGAGCTGATTAGCAATAGCAAGTCCATCAAGCTGACTTCCGTGTCTATCACTCAAACACCAGTCAGTGTTAAATACCCTGTTGTTCTCATTTTGTCCAATGAGTGCTTATTACTTATCAGTACAGATAATTTTCGCCTTGATGTACTCATAACTTCCATTTGACCATTGCTATTATCAATTAACTACTGGTTACCTTTGTCAAGCACCCTGTCGTTGTTATAAACATGATTTGTTGTTTTCACACGTACATTCAGAAGACCTCTGCTTCCTCGTTTTCTACCATAATGAAACCAACCAATATGGCGCTTGCTCGCAAATATTCACTTTTAACTCCCGGATTAACTTCATAACTGAACACAACCTCAATATGCAGTACCGTCACGCCTTGGGTTAAAGTCCCAAAATAAACTTAATGGAAAACTATATCAATTATTGTCGTCGAACAACACAGTAACAAAAATATTTCTTGTTCCTCAAAAAGCTCACCAATTTGATTGTAGAAGCGTTATTGATGCACAAATGATTTTTATTGTATAGTGCATCTGGCCCAGAGGCATGTACCAAAATATACATGATTTTTCTTGACTTGTATTGTGTACATCCAACATGTAAAATAACGCATTACCCAACAAAAGAGAGACGAAAACATCCCACCCCACTAAACAAGATATTGTTTTGCAAAGTCATCCATGTCATGATCGTTTGTCTCTTCAACCGGCGTTGCATAGAACCAACACGAG